GCAATAAGTGCAATAGATAATATGACGTATACGACAAGCAATGTAGTGAATGATGGTTAGAGCAACGCAATAAACAAACAAAGCGGCGCTCTAGAAAGCATCTCATGGGGCAAGTGGCGATGAACCGCCGCTCTACTCTAACAGGGATCTCCCTCTTGTGTTCTTTGAACTCTTACCTTCAACTCACAGTTCAAAGGCCCTCAAATGCTGACAAGGGGTAGCCTTTTCATGTAGAAGCCACAGATGCTGCTTTTCTTCCTGATTATATTCACAACTTTCCCTATTCTCCAACGAGGTAATAAACTAGGTTGGTTTAGTATCCAGAATTGAGGCGCACACATGCTAGCTCAATTTATGGGGCAGCCATACAGATTTCAATCAGGGGATACACCCCTGGGTATTTAAACCAAACTTTAGTCTCGGAAATTCCAAACCTTTGTGTTCTAGGCATTGCTATTCGAACTCTAGTTTTCACCGTCACAGTTGGCCTCCTAGGAACTCATTGCAAACACAACTAAGATGCCTCTAACAGGGAATGGTTCTTAGGGAGAGTACTTTTAATTTCCATTCTAGCTTGAAGCAGGCTTGAGCTTGAGCTTGAGGTAGAGGTACACTCATACTCCGGAGAAAAGACAAGGCTTGAGAAGGTGCATCAGGAATGCAATCTCAGTATTTTCTAAAGTTGAAATACACTAAGATGCTCCAAATTTTCCCTCTTTTCTTTTGCTCTGCAATCCGGAACCTATGTTTAGATAGGTCCTTGTTTTATTGTTCTTACTCTTGACCTGGGTTGAACCTTGCAATTTATGAAAGAAAGAATTCTGTTTTGTACATCATGTTGAGAATAGCATGACACTTTGAGCACAAAACGATTTATTTTTACAATTGGAACTGAGAAATGAGTTCTTAACCAGGTATGGAGCCTACGACTGACCACAGTCAAAACGACTCAACAAAGGAAAACAAAGTAAAACAATCTAAAAACAAATATTTACACTCACAATGACTCAAAACAAGAATCGAGACAAACAAAAACAACAAACACAACACTTAGATATGTTCCAATGGTGAGAGACCTCTCAGTTCATGGAGAGCCTGCTTTTCCAGGTATTGTTTCCCACCCTTTCTTATTTGTGATTCTCGTATCACTTTGGCACTCAATCTCTATTTTCTCTTAAAAGCCCTTTACTTACTTTTTCTCTCAGCGCACATCTCTCAATTCTTTAATCTTTCTTATTTTTTATCACTTCCCAAGTGTGGTTGATGGATAAGCTGGAAGTTGTGGACCTTATGAGGGGGGTCGAATATCCATCATTCGTGCTTCGCACTTAGTTCGATACCTCACTGCTCGAGAGAGGTTTTATCCTCTACTGCTAGCTTTAGTTGTGCCCTTTTCTAGCGAGTTCCTTGATAATGGGAAAAGATACACTACAAGAAATTGCATTTTTGCAACGCAACAAAATATGTTGCTAAAAGGGAAAATTCGTCAGCAAAGAGTTTTGCCAACACATCAAGCTACGTTGGCAACCCGTAGGCAAAAGTGAGTCGGCAAAAGTTCTTGCCGACGAAATTATCATTACGTTGGTAAAAGTAATGCCTTTAGCGACGAACATAGTCGTCGATAAAAGTCTTCATCCATCGTCGGCAATTTACCTTGCGTTGGTAAAAGTCATTCAAATATGATGATTGTGTGGCACTTTTCGCAACACAAATTTGCATGGGGAAAAAATATACTTTTAGCAACAAAATATGCGTCGGCAAAAGTAAACTTTTGGCAACACATTTACGTCGGCAAATGTTGTCATTTGCCTACGATTTGTTTGTCGATAAAACTTCACTTTTGGCAACGACAAATTAGCATTGGCAAAAAATACACATTTAGCAACACAATATGAGTGGGTAAAAGTAAACTTTTGGCAACACATTTACGTCGGTAAATATAGCCATTTGCCGATGATTTGTTTGTCGATAAATGTTTACGTTTGGCAATGACAAATTGACATTGGCAAAATATACACTTCTAGCAACACAATATAAGTGGGCAAAAATAAACTTTTGACGACATATTTACTAACAAAAATAATTGAAAATAATTTATATATTTTTATAAGATTTACAGATTTACAAGAGGCATCCCTCAGGCACCACTATTACAAACTAATAACATTGATATGAAATCACCTAAAGTTGATGTGCAAGCAAAAAAAACACTACTGATACTGTTTTTAGAAGCAATGTATAAAACCTAAAAGGGTAAAGTCACTAAAATACCCAAATACATCCAAATTGTGAACTCACATTAAAAACAACAGATAATAAAATGAAAACATGAAACTAACAAAGACAGACAAAACGGCGTGAAAATCACCCACAAACTTATCCAGTAGACCAACATCTAGTAGCAGCCGCCTCACAGCAACATTGCAACAGCAGCAGCCCAGCAAGTATAAGTATAATGCTCCCATTATAAGTATAAGCAAATCTTACTTTCTCCATAGTACAAGTATAATGCTCCCATAGATGAGTACAAAGCCATGCTCCACCCATTTGCCATAAAGCCCAAACAGCCTGACTTCGGTCAGGAGATGTTTTTGCCTATATATGTGACACCTGATGTGCAACCCAACCATTTGCTTCATAGTTCACCTGTAACATTCTGTGACTAAATAAAAACAATAGTGCTTATAAAGAATATAGAATGCTTAAATAGAACAATTTATCACGGAAAACACCAATCACAGAGTTCATCCTGGGTCTTAACCTACCTAACTACTTTGATGTACAAATTTTATATGCATACAGACATATTTTATACTTATTCAGTCTTTCAAAAAAAATAAAAAATACTAAGCTCCAAATGATGGCTTGCAGAAAAACAAATATACATATATACACAATACCACATGTGATCACACAAAATGAATAAAACAACAGTTCATAAGGACCATTAATGTTTGATAATTGAAAGATATTCTTATTTCGGCAGTTTTACTTCCATTGACCGACAGAGACAAAATGTAATCAAACAAGGGCTTGTGGCACTCATGAAGGTTGCATGGAAGGGAGGGACAATAGTTCATTTGAAGATTAATATTCAAGTGTTAAGCTAGAATGTGAGTCCCAATAATTAAGAATTTCAATCTTATGCTATAATCTGCCCAATAAGACAGGCCACTAATGTTTGAGCTATCCTCAACCACACCAAATACATTGAACTAATCTCAATTCAAGTCCAAGACATACAAATACATTGAACTAATCTACTTTAACCATTTAAAGTTGAGTTTGGATCTTGGAATTATGAAGAGGAAAGCCAAAAAATGGGGAAAAAAAATCTTGGATTTGGGGAGTGAACAGAAAAAGAAAGGAAAAATGGGAAGAAATTGAAAAAATATATATATATATATAATTTCAGTTTCATTTTCCTTTCCCATGACAATGCAAGATCCAAACATAGCTTAAGGAATCCTCGTTTGGTATCATGCTATTTCAGTAATTTTTAATTTTTTAATTAAAATATGAAGTAAAAAATTATGTTTAGGATGACTTTTTTTTTTAATTTTTTATGAAAAAATGTGAGAAAATTTGACTTTTTTATATAATTTGTCAAGTTTTTTAACTTTTTTTTAATAAGTTTTAGGCTAAAAAGTGATGCTCATTCAGTGTAATATTGCTATCCATTTTATTATAAAAATACATGTAGGAAGGGTAAAGAACCAAAATGTCAAATGCTAAAATATTGAAGAACTCAAAACCCAAGATAAAGAACAAACTTCAAATCTTGAAAATAAACAATAATAGTATATCAAACAAGACTCAAAAGCACTGTCATCTCTTCCCTTTCTATCATTTCTAGGCAACCAAACAACAACAAAGCAAATTGGGATATACTGTTACGTTTACCATTAAGATTGAGAGTCTCGAATTGAACACCGATATTTGTATATGTTTCGGACAGTAAGGGGAAACCATAACAGCATAACTTATTATGAAACTCCTACATCAAAGTCTGCATTTAGTCATAGGAACAAATCTGAGTGGCTGATGCTGATTTTTTTAAACCATTCTTAATTTAAAACCACATTGATTCAAGCTGACTGTCAAACCCACATTAATCTGGTTTATTCAGTTCATTTAGAATGATGCTCAAGAACAGAACACACCAATTATTTATTTATTTATTTATTGGGAAGGGACAAATAACTCAAGCACAATGTTCTTTCAATTCAATTCTCTACAAATCAAAGAAAAGGGTTTTACAAACCCACCAATAATTCATATATATATATATATATATATATAATATACATGCACAACCAAAATCAAAATAACGCACAAAATGTAATAGCAAACACAATGTGTTGCTAAAAAATAAGCCTCGTAGCTAAAATTTTGGCGCCTAATGTGAGCCTATTAAGCAAACACAATGCTTCAGACAAAACTTCCGTGAAACTTGTGGAGTGACTGGAATCAGTGTTTATAAGTAAAAAGGAAGCAGTTCAGGACTAGAGAGACTAACCTCAGCTCTACTTGTGGGGGTATTTCCATAATCCCTTGCCCTCAAACCATTTTGCTTGCTTCTTATAGAGCCATTTTGATGTGTTTCAGATTTGCCCCATGTGCGTGTGAGGTCTGATCCAATGGAGTGGAAAACACCACAGGTGGACATATCCCTGTTGATGCTTCCTGGATTGTAGAAAAGCTAACTTTATTTCAACTGTTTGTTGCAAAATAAGGAAACTAAACTACAAGACAATAAAGCATTAGTATATAAGTATTCTGATCACTTACCCATTTTCTGAAACTCAGCATGGCTGGACTTGTGCTCATTAATATCCCGTCCAAGACTTTCTTGACTTCCATTAGTTTTTTCTCAGTCAGATCAGAATGGATCACACATTTTCCTGTGACATTTAATGCCAAAAAGTTTTAAAAAGCATTTAATTTTTTTTTAAAAAAAAATAGAACTTAAAATTTGACTGAACATACCTAGCCTCCGGTTGCTTTTGGCATCAAGAAACCCATCATGCGTCGTTATCACCTTCATCAACCATGTTATCCATTATCATCACAATTCTACTGCTTATCTGTCAAAAGAACTAATGTCATTCACATTTCAAACTTCAGAGAATACTGGAAACACCTAATATGTAAACAAGCTGAAACAGCCGAGCACAAAGACATGTAATTACCTATTGGCGTGACTATGTATTGGTTATCTTGCGAATGGCTAACCTAAAGTGGGTTACAAATTGACAAGTAGTTAACTAAACACTTGTTCTATATGGTAAATCAAGCTTTCAGCAGTTAGTGAAGCTCATGGAGAACAAATAGTAACGAAATGTTAACACAGCACCTCACTGACAGATTCAGAATGCTCATCCCTTTGTACAAAATCAGCTCCCAAGCTCACATCATCGTCTTGAATGTCATCATTTTCATCTTCACAAGGATCAAGCATACTCTTAACCTGCATAATTTCCAATTACAAAACTCAAAATTTGAACAAGGGATCCAAGTGTCTCACTGTTCCTGCAATCTTGTATCATTACCTTGAGAGCTAATACAAAATGTTTATTGTTGACATTCCCAACCTCTGCGGTCACTTGTGCCCTTACATTGGTCTTGGAAGGTGAATGCATTCTACAAACCCACAAGGCCCATGGTAAATCATGGTAATTTTAAATCCTATTACTCAGGGTTGAACAAGTGCTTATTTAAGTTTGTCCATTATAAAACAATTTTTTGAAGTTTTAATCTCAACAAAAATCAAACATGCTATTTTGATAAGTTGGAAGGGTAATTCCAGAGGAATAATATGCGTATACATCACTTTCATGTATCCATAGAACAGTTGAAATTTGGAAACTGGCTTTTGATAAGTTGGAAGGGTAATTCCAGAGGGATAATATGCGTATACATCACTTTCATGTATCCATAGAACAGCTAAAATTTGGAAACTGGCAGCTTCCTGTTCATCTACGAAAGCTATCATGATAAACGTCATATATTGAAACCAGATCTTTGAAAAAATATCAAATAGCCACCTTGGTTTAAAGCAGCCAATGATTACTATAATAGATCTGAGTATTTTATATTTTTTTTTATAGAATTAATAATTAGAATATTTATCAAAATTGCCAACATTTTGAAATACTTATGGTCAACTACAAAAAGTAGGGACAAAATAATGGAGAATCATGATAAATTTACTTCCACCTCAGATATTGGTAATTATAAGATACTCACATCGACGTCTTTTTGAAACTGCGGTGTATTTATTCATATGCAATCTCCATATGAGAAGTGACACAACAGTAGATAATATAACTACACCTGCAACTGTTCCTACTACAATGCCAGCTAGTGCCCCCTTGCTAATTCCAGATTTTGAAGTGGAAGAGGGGATCACTGCAATAGAAATAAAAGTAATAAGCACAAACCAATTCAATCCATCCTTGATTGCATACAAAAATTGGAAAGCATGACTATGCACTTCGTTGTTTAAAATGGCATAGGTCACTATTTGTGGCCGACTTTAAGATCAATGTAAACCACCCCCCCCCGATAGATCATCCAACACCATGATCCAAGCATCATCCACTACAGTTCCAGCTAATAGGAGCATTAGCTAGTTTTTTTTATTTTATTTTTTATAGTGTGCAAACCATTCGTACTGCCACACCAGGGGTAAACATCACTAGTATACACATGGAGGGTAAACTAGCTACCCATATTTTCAACTAGAGCCCAAAAAAAACGTGACAACCTTCTCACAATGAAAGATATACAAAGACCATAACTAATAAGATCACTATATCTATTTCATCATATTCCTGAACAAAACATGTCAGATAAGACCTCCTTGAGCCTGTTGGTTTTGAGCATGACTCTTTGAACCTCAGGTCAAAGGTGCGAGGAGCTGCTGACAGATTGCTAAAAAACAAGAAACAAAAACATTTGTCAGATAAGGTTTAGAAGACAAACCATCTACATAAGGGAACCACAGAGGGAAATCAAGAAGTTCATAAGGTCCAAAAATTTCACTATCAGGAATATGCCATCCTGTGAACATGCCCCGGATTCGTTGAACCTCGGTCGTATTGAAGATGTGAGAAGAGGTGTTGTCAACGTATACAGGAAAAATCTTCAAGTCCATTCTCAGTCGAGGGCCTTCTTCCTATAAAACAGAAACAATCTCAAGCTGAAAAATGTTCAATTTAAGACCTGTTGTGAGGTACATCTCAAATGGAACCCAGTACGGCTCAAAATATCTGAATCCAGGACTTTTCAACCGATATCCAACGATCAGAGGCGCAGCACAGAAGCATGGTGAGTTTGGGGCATATTCATAAGGGCATGATTGCACCAGACAATTATCATTAGAGTTTGTTGCGCTTGGGGTATGACTGACAGTTTCATTTTCATTCTGAGGTCCACAGAACAGGACCAGGTTGGTATTCAAGCATATTGGATTTCCTTGAAGCCTGCAAAATTTTCAAATGAATAACAGAAGAGGAATTTGATAACTCTTTGAACCTGCTAAATATGTCTTTATCTTACTTGAATGAATCTAAAAGGTAAAATTTTAGATTTTTACCAAGGAAACACATGCATATAAAGATATTTCATTGTGGATGAAGATGGAAAACAAACCTAACAGTGACATTTGCAGGGAGGCTAGCATTGCCAGAAATATTTGAAAGCATATTGTTCTGCAAAATTTCGTATTAGCTAATATAATATCCAACGATCACAGGCACAGCACAGAAGCATGGTGAGTTTGGGGCATATTCATAAGGGCATGATTACACCAGACAATTATCATTAGAGTTTGTTGCGCTTGGGGTATGACTGACAGTTTCATTTTCATTTTGAGGTCCACAGAACAGGACCAGGTTGGTATTCAAGCATATTGGATTTCCTTGAAGCCTGCAAAATTTTCAAATGAATAACAGAAGAGGAATTTGATAACTCTTTGAACCTGCTAAATATGTCTTTATCTTACTTGAATGAATCTAAAAGGTAAAATTTTAGATTTTTACCAAGGAAACACATGCATATAAAGATATTTCATTGTGGATGAAGATGGAAAACAAACCTAACAGTGACATTTGCAGGGAGGCTAGCATTGCCAGAAATATTTGAAAGCATATTGTTCTGCAAAATTTCGTATTAGCTAATATATTTGAATTCATCTAAACCCAACAAAATTTCTGGGGTCAATTACAAATGCAAAAGCCTATGGTGTTAATACTTGTAATTTCGTATTTCCATCAAGGTTGAACTTTTTGTGAGTTGCTACAATGAAAGAAATAGTCAAAATCAACTGACATCCAAACCAGTAACTCAAATCATCGTTTGTAATATCTGTCATTTCTCTTCACATTGAAAAATTTTCAACCAAAATGGAAAAAACCCAAAAGCTGATTCCAAAAGTTATTCAATGGGCAAATTAAAATGGTAGTCTATGTACTTTGTTACTTCCTGTGTCATTTTACTCCCTATAATTTCAATTGACTCGATTTTAACCATGAATTTATCACTGTCTCAATTTGGTTCAATTGAGTTTTTTTTTTTTTTTTATAATTTTTTTATATGAAAAATAAACAAATAAGTGGCATGTGTGAAAAATTATAAACATGAGTTAAAAATACTAACGAGATAATCAATTGGACTAATAAATTCATTCAATTGAACACAATGACGTAAACGGTGCAAGGGGGGGAGAATAGGTTAGAAATTGATAGTGTACCTTAGAAGTTGGATCGGTGGCTAACACAGACTGAGGAAAAACAGAAATCACTCGATTTGTTCCCATCGGCAACTTCGTTTTTCGTAAATTCAGATATTTTCCCCAGAATTTGGAAGTGATATGCGACTTTCGAATCTGTGAATTTGCCTGAACTTGAAACAAATTGTAACCAGAAATGCAAGAGGAATTGATCTTACTTTGATGCTCTAGCACCACAAGAGCAAGTGAATTATGGTGAATCAAGTTATGGCCTATCGAATTGCTCATATTCTTCAGATTACGTTTAGAAACATAAATGGCACAATTTATTTGAACATATTGTGTTTTGTATCTTGGAGACCTCAGTCGCTCACTGCTGCTGTAGGCCGCTGCTGCTCGTAGTCGCCGCCGATCAAAGGATGTTGGGCTAGGGTTTGGAGAGAGGAGTGAGTGAGAGATAGGTTTGGGAATCTAAAAAAAAAATGAATTGTATTGTGTGTTGTGTGTGTGGGTTGCTCTACTACGGAATAAAAAATAAATAAAAAAGGTCAAGGCCAGTTTGAATTTTTATGAATCAGAAAAAAGGAAATTGTTTTATATAAAATTAAAATTAAAAAAAATACATACAATCACACTTATTTAAAAAATGTTATATAAAAAGAAGATATAATCATACTTATTTAAAAAGTGAGATTAAAAATAAATATTATCACACTCACCCAAATGAAGTGTGATTAAAATATCGATCTAATTTTTTTTTATCACACTTTCACTAAAAATGAGATATTTTCAATTGTCAAAGTGTGATCTTTAACTATTTTTGTGGTAGTGAAGAGTGAAATCGTGAAGATGGATGAGGGGAGATTTGATGAGGGAAAAAAAAAGAGGGAATTTTAAGAGGAAATTTGCCATTGCCCCGATAATCAGATCACAACCAAAATAATAATGATAATAATAATTTCAAAACAATTTTTAGATTTGTTTTTTTGAAAAAATTAAAAATAATTTGAGAGCAATAAAAATCAAAATTATATTTTAAAAATTTTAGAAAGTGTTTATGACGTAAAAGATAAAAATATACAAAAATAATAAGTATTTTTTATTTCACCCAATTTTTTTTAGTTTTTTAGGGGAAAAAAAAATTGAAACTAGTTTCTGAAAATAAAACCAAACATATTGAAATTGATAATCTAAGCATAATCTTTGAAAAAGTTTAAATTATCTCAAATTAGCCATCTCAACTTAAGAGTGTGTTTGGGCTTAATGGGTTCATTTTGTGATCTAATTCAATAATCATTTTAATTTTACAATTCAGTAACTAGAATATTTAAAACTCTTTAGAAAATTGTAATAAAAAATACAAATCACTATATCACATCATTCCACTAGCAAAACTTTTACCGACGAATAGTGTCATCGTCGCTAAATGGTTAACTCTTTACCTACGCCAACTTGTCGTCGCCAAAAGTAAGCACACTAATAGCAACGCTCATTGTGTTGCTAAAACATAAGCCTCGTAGATAAAAGTTTTGAAATTTTGGCGCCAACCAAAAAAATTGGCGCTAAAATAATGTTATGCCTTTTTAGCGACGACAACAAATTGCGTCGGTAAAGGTATACTTTTACCAACGAAATTGATCACTGTGTCGCCAAAAATATACTTTTAGCGATGAAAAATTGACGTCGTCGCCAAAAGTAGTTGCCAAAAGTGGAATTTCTTGTAGTGATAGAAAACATGACTCGATTATGCCCCTACTTCATCATTTTGACCATTTTTTGTTTTTGGCTTTCTGCTAAAACAATTTTGACCAACATGAGAGTTAGTTTATCATGCTTGTTCAACTTTCTACTTTGAAATCATGTAAGTCAGGCTATGAGCACTGAAAATTTTCCTTTTTTAGGTCCAAGAAATAGTCTAGTTTTGGAAAAATGGAATAATTTTCAAGAGAATTAGTCAACTTCACTAAAAATTCTCAAAACTGTTTGCAAACGGCCACTACTCGACCAACGAGGAATTAACTCTCGAGATGCGCAACCTCAAATTTGAACTTGAATTGTTTTGTAGCTGAATCTTCTAATGAAATAGACAATCGATTTTGAACGAAGATGAGCACGAAAATTAGCCAATTTGCACATAGATAGGATAGCTGAGTTTGAACAAGGATAAGCCAACCAACATGGATGAGACAAGTAGGCTGAAAATGGTTGGGGCCGAACTTCAGGATGAAGTTACCTACGTATCCCAAAGATGGGAATCAGGCTTTACATAGTTCTGGGTTTAGGGTGCACTCGGGTATTAACTCTCTCATTTTACGCTTTAACTTTTTCCAAAGCCGACCTTCTGAGTTTTCAACCTTGCGAGCTCTATTTTTTCCTTTCATTTTTCTTTCTTTTTCTTTTTCATTTTTTGTTTTCATTTTTTTCTTGCTCTAACTTTTTCCTGGGTCGTCCTTCTGGGTTTTCAGCCCAGAGAGCCTCTCACGAATAGAAAAGTTTAACTTGTCCATGTTGATCGGTCGTAGGATCTTTAAGCCATCTGAATCCAGGAGAATGGCTGTTGTTCACTGATGATATAAGAGCCCATCCAATTGGCTCTAAATTTGCCCCTAGTGTCATGGATTGAACTTGATTGTCCTTCAACAAAAATTTTCTTCTCTCAAATTCTGGGATTTGGCTTTCTTGTCGATCTCCATTGGCTTCAGAAATGACCTATTTTTGAATCTTCTAGTGTATCTGACCTTTTTTGCCCTTAGTTCAAGGGCTGCTTCTAATCCAACTATGCAAGCTTCCTTTGATGACATATGACCTTATTGCCCCTTGTTCAAGAGCTACTTCCAAGTTGGCCACGTAAACCTCATATTATGATTGATTGTTGAACATTCTAAAACAAGGTTTAAGGTTTGCAAGCAAATGGGTCAAGTTTTGAGGCTGAGAGTGATCTTATGCTGTACAATCTCAAGATCAATTCCAGGCATGTCTTCGTAGAACCACACAAAACGTTTTCAAAATTCTTTTAATAAAGCAACTAGTCGCTTATGCTCTTCTAAAGACAATGTAGAACCAATCTGGATCAAGCCATGACCCTTCTCAGTACTCACATTAAGAGACATGATTTCATTCATTAGGGGCTTAGCAGGCCTCTCTTTCTCTCAGTTGATCAAATTTTTGCAAATCCCGAGGAATTCCTTCCTCTTTATTTTCATCACAGTTTTGGAAACAGTTTTGAAAAACTTTGGTCAATGCAATGATTTAAAGGCATAGAGAAGTAAGTGGAAAAGTACTGTCATTTCATTCAAATCTGCTGGCACAACTGGCTCAATGGTAGAAACAAACTCAAAGAGTGAAAAAGACAAACAAAACAAGACAGTGATGTGATGTGATGTCTGAGTTAACACGCCCGAAATCACCTGATTCTAACACAACAAGACTGACTCAAAACAACAAGACTGACTCAATACCCAAGTCTGAAAGTACAATAAATAGCATTTTCAAAGTGCTAAAACAGTGCGTGCCATCCACCACATTTGGAGTAAAATGAGCGCCATCAGCAGGTGGTTCATCTCTAATCACATAGTCACATTATCCCCTAAGTTCATCGACCCAACACTGATAGACATTGTAGGACCCAGTGGAGTGATGACCTTATTGTCAATCAGATCTTGAACTTCATGGCGAAGACGAAAACAACCGTTAGTGTCATGGCCAGTTTGTTGATGGAAGGCACAGTACTTGGCAACATTATACCTGGATGGAAGGGGATTAGGGAGAGGACGAGGGTTAAGGGGTTTGAGATGGCCTTGTCCTATGAGGATTCAGAAAGCTTTGGACAAGGTCGTGTAAAGGGGATTGAAGGTACGGTTTCCAGTCCTACCAGGGTTGATAGAGGGGTTGGCAAGTGTTGACTGGGTTTGATGACTTCTTATGGGTGTAGGATTGGAGCTGAAAGGGGTGTTTCTCGCAAAACATCCCTTTTTAT